TGGGGGTGAGCTCCTTGATCTAATCACAAATTTATTGTTTTAATGAACATTCATAGTCAAAATAAATGAACAGTTCAAACTTGTGCATGTATTATGGTAGCTCATTGAGTTTTATCTGGATGCAGGCACCCAGAGATCAGCTGTCATCTGTAAGGAGCAAGAGGCTGGAGTTGTAGATGAAATGTTGTACTGCAACCAAAGCACAAAGCCTGATGACATGTTGAGGGACTGCAATACTCATTTATGCCCAGCCAGGTAAATTAAGAGTTATTCAATGTAAACATTTTGTGATAAATCCTTATGTCACCAGTATCTATCAATTGTTATTTTATGATTGGTCTTAACATGAACAGGTCTATCTGATACAGTAAATAACTTTAAGCAACAATATGAGTTAAAGAAAGAACAAATACTAAGTTATTTTTAACTGTTCTTATAATCTTTTTATAAAATAGCTTAAAGCTACTGAGACGCATATCTATTTTTTAAAATTAAAATGTCAAAATTTTAAAGTGATCTTTCAAATCTATATTGCTTTCAAATTTGACCTTCAAAAAAGGGAAAATCCTTGTATTATGTAATTCTACTTACTGTGTAAATTTACATTTTGTATAATTCTACTTTGTGTTTATTTTTTTTCTTATTTTTCCTGTTCTTTTGTTTGTTCCCATGTCAACAGACATTGATCCAAATTAATAATAAAATTGTATGTTTTATTATTTCAGATGGTGGACAGGACCATGGCAACACTGTTCAGTGACTTGTGGAGACAAGGGCACACATCGAAGGACAGTTATCTGTGTGAGGAGTCTAGGTTCTGATGAACAAATTGCTCTAAATGATAAAAATTGTGAAGGACTTGACAAGCCTATTGAGGTTGAGCCTTGTCACCACAAAGATCCTTGCCCTCGACCAGGAACCTGGGTTCTTGATGAATGGAGCAATGTAAGTCCTAATAGCTAGATGGAAATTTAAAATATCAGCTGATGATGAAATTCATTCAAACAATACATTCTTCAGATTATTTATACTTACCTGCAATTAAAACAACTTTGAACAAGATGTGAAAAATGCTCCAAAAGAAAGAAGAAAAATTTTTAAAATTTGAAAAAAAAAAATGCAATTTTGTTTTGATATTTCTTGATTTAAGCTTAAAATTATGTAGAACATGTACAAACTCTAGATTGCATGCTTTGTTTTTCACTCAAGGTTAATAAGCAGTTCGTTAAAAGGAGTTGCTTTTTTTTAAAACTTAAACAAACACATCCAACATACTGTTAAAGTAAATTACCCCCCTCTATAAAAAAAAATGAGTATAATAGGCTAAATATGGTAGATTAATTAAATTGTTTAAATACTATGTAACTCCAAGGCCCTAGATATATTGCCCACATTTCCTATGTATAATCAGAACCTCTATGTAAATTTTGTTAAGTCAAGAATTATTTGTTTTTCAAAAATTGGTATATTAACTTTGTTCTAGTGTACCAGAAGCTGCAATGGGGGTGTCCAGATCCGAAAAGCAACTTGTTTTGGTGGTGCATCCTGTGAGGAGACCAAACCAAACTTGAAGAGACCTTGCAATGAACACAAATGCCCAGACAATGAAAAAGAAATTCTCAACATTCATGAAGGAGGTGATGAAGACACGTCATCACCTGGCCTTCCATTATCTTCACCGCCTTCACTTTTCACCACAGCTTCTCCAACAGCACCAGGCAGTGATAAAAATTTTGTTATAGGACAGTCCAACACTAACTCTGTTGAGAGTGAGATACCTGGTGGCAAAGAACACATTAATTTCAACATTGACCACCCTGTGCACAAACATAGACAACACGCTGAACACCATAACAAGAAAAAACAAGACTTTCCTCAGTTGGTAGCCAAAATTATAGATAAAATAGATATAGGAAAGGGGAGCCTTATTGACAGTCCAATTGTAAGCAATGGAGGACAGAATATTGGCGATACCATATCCCCTAATGCGGACACTGATGAGAAATTCAATATAAATTATAATTATCAAAGTTCAAATTGGACTAAGGTTTGTGTAGCATGATAGACAATTAAATTAGTTTATGTTAATTGAAAAATGCAGAAATATTAAGGTTTCAAAATTTATTTTTAAATATAAACAATCCATATGTATGCGAATGACTTGATTTGATTTTAAAAAGTGAGGGATGAATTTTTTTAACAAATTATTTTTTATTTTTAAAACATTAAAAATTTATCTTCCAGTGCTCAAGGTCATGTGGCAAAGGTTTCAGAACCAGAGAATCATTTTGTATAAATGCCAAAACAGGTGAAAGAGTTGGATCAGATTTGTGTGACTTTGGCAATAAACCATCTTCTGTTGAGGAGTGTATAGACTCACTTTGTCTAGATTGGCAAACTGGAGTATGGGGCCAGGTGAGAATTTTAATTACGATTCTGTATGACATAAATATTAAAGATTAAATTATTTTTTTTCTTTACGCCATTTTCTTGAGATTGTTCATGATAAGTCTACACGTTTGCACTATTAAATCTATTTTAGTGTTCAGCTACCTGTGGACATGCAGTCCAAGATCGGCAGGTGGACTGTCCAAGGAAAGATCAGTGTGATCTTACACAAAAGCCAGAGGATAAAAGAGACTGTGAAAAAATGCCTCCTTGTAATGCATGGATTAATGGTGACTGGAGCCAGGTATGTGATAAGTTAATATAGGTGAACTTTGAAAATGTTAATAATTATCATCATGCTCATCATTCATAATGTACATTTGATGTACTGATGAATCTCGAAACTAATGATTTACTTCAGTGCACCAAGTCCTGTGGCGTAGGAACCCAAGAAAGGTTAGTCCAGTGTGTCAATCTGACCTCCCAACAGATGGCTCAAGGATGTGACATGGCCACCATGCCGGCAGGCACTCAAGATTGCAATGTGCATGACTGCCCAGGTGATGACAATGCTGGTAAGTACTCTCAGTAATTTAGCTTGATGACTTTCCATTCTTTAAGTTTAATTTTATCATAACGAATGAAGAGACATAGTTCTATTAAATGTCATCTGGTTTTGTGACAAATTTTAAAACATTTTTGTTAGAAGATAATTTATGATGAATCCAATATTTTCTGTTGCACAATGTAATTCAGCTTTAAAAAAATGGTGTTAACCTTCTATTTACAGCACTAAGTGTTTCACAGGTGTGTGAGGACAATGAAATGAGTTATAAAGTGTGCAGAATGTTGAAAAAAGTAGGAATGTGTCAAAAGGAATATGTCCTGAAAAAATGCTGTCGTACATGCCAAGATCATCATCGTGAGACACCAGAACAAGGAAAAATGGCAAGGAGGTAGCTGTAAGAAAGATTAATTACAAGACCCATTCTATTTTGAATATCAATGATCCCATGAGATTCTACCAGTTGATATTAGGCTAGAGTTTAAAAAGACTTGCAGTTTTGTGTTGATCAATTTTTGAAGATATGTCGCATATTTAATTGTAAATTTATTTTGCTCAAATCCTTAATGGATTAGATAAATATCCATAAATCCTGATCTGGTTTTCAAAATCTATCAAGTATTACAAACTACATACATTTTATTTTCTACATAAAAATATCAGAAAGAACTAAAGCTACTGCATCATAAATATAATTTTACTAAGCTCAATTTTTTATAACTGCTTCTAATAAATATTTAAACTTTAAATCATTAAAAGGTTGGATAAAGTAACCTCACATGTAAGTTTACCTCTAAAAACTCAACAAAAATTATACTAAACTTTATTTCATTGTAAACATGAACTAAAGCCTATTTAAAAGATTTGTTGGTTATTTTAAGCATTCTAGATTAAACCTATGTCGTATGTAAGGAAAATTCTTAAAAACATTTGGACATAAACCTCTCATAACATGGCATTGGCTGTTAAGATTTGGATTCTTGTTTTTATTTTGTTGAGCTTTTATATAATTTCCTTTTTGGAGATAATAATATTGAGATTTAATTCATTTTAAATCCCAATATAAAAAAAGAGTGTTTAATTCTTTTTAGTTGCTTTAATACTGTTATTATAATACATTTTTAAGTAAAACATGTAATTAAAAAGTTAAAGGGCCGTGAGAGTTGAGTTATTTAAGATAATTTTCATGTTACACAGATTGTGATTTTTACTTAGCTAATAAAATTTGTGTTCACAAAGATATGGGTGCTAGTACAAAAAATAAGAATCACCTGTCCTTGAAGCTACTATAATGATTCTCTTACCTCACTAACATTGATTCAACAAAAATTTTACAATTTTATTGTTTACTTATACTGAGAGCCCATATTTTTAATATTGAACATAGAAGAAGAAGGCTATATGTCAAAACATATGTTGTCAGTTAGTATTAGTTTCAATAGTTTAATAACAACTTAAAAGGACTTCAATAGAGACATTTAATATAAATTCTGTATATAATGTCTATTATTATATCATATTATTATTTTGCAAGATGAAAAACCTACAACATTGTTTTTGTAGCACATGTATTGTTGGTAACATCTTTCAGGTTAATGTATTTTGACATTTAACAGATTCAAAAAAATTAATATTAATTAGTAGTCCGGCTAAACATATAATGGACATGTTATTTAAAACATGGGCACTGCACAGCTCACTCCATAATCTCCATGGGAAATATTTAACATGTTTGTTCTTTAACATGAATTAACAATTTTTTTTAAGGTTAGCTCACCACTGAACTAAATTTGATGATTTGATATTAGTAAATGTTAAGCATAATAGCTGGTTTAGATTAACACTAGCAAAATCCTAAATATAAATGATTTTTATTAGTAAGAATGAAAGTGAAAATTTGTTAAAAGGTATTAGTTTAGATAAGAATTTGTATTCCTTTCAGATTTCATATAGGTACAATCATTTTATTCCTCAATTAGTTGCAGGGAGCCTTGTGATTCTCTAATAAATTTCACTGAAGCAAATATAATTTTATTATAGTCAGTCATTTGTCATGCACAGTTTTCAAACATTTTGAAAAATGTTGCATCAAGTGTGAAATTCATTGTTCTAAAGAATGTTAATAATTTTTTCATCAACAAAATATTTTAAAACATTATTTTACCCAAAAACATCTCTTACTTGGACTTCTTTGAAAATTTTTTTTTTTTTTTTTTATTGGTTGAGAATGTTTAGTTAATAATGAATTTATGTTATATTCTTAGCCAATGGACCTGCAATTAAAAAAAAAAAATCAGTAGCTTCATTGATCCGAAAACTGTTTTTACCTTAGAACTTTCAAGGAGTTAAAAATTAACTTAATAAAATCAGAAATAATTTTTTCATCAACAAAATATTTTAAAACATTATTTTACCCAAAAACATCTCTTACTTGGACTTCTTTGAAAATTTTTTTTTTTTTTTTTATTGGTTGAGAATGTTTAGTTAATAATGAATTTATGTTATATTCTTAGCCAATGGACCTGCAATTAAAAAAAAGAAATCAGTAGCTTCATTGATCCGAAAACTGTTTTTACCTTAGAACTTTCAAGGAGTTAAAAATTAACTTAATGAAATCAGAAAATTTTAAACAAGGAAAGTTCTTTTTTTTTTAATGTTTTGCCACTTTGTAAATTGTTCTATATTTATTTCAAGCCAAATACTTTTTTCCCCATCATGAAAAAAAAAAATTTCTTTGGAAATAATAAAAAATGAATAAAAAAAAATAGTAAAATTAAAGTTGTAAGATGTTTTCCTTTTTTTAATTTTAACTTATTTTCACTTGTGAGCTCACCTCAGTTTAAATATGCAAGGTGTCACTTATGTCTACTCTTCTATTTTGTTATTTACTTGTATATTATCTATGCAAAGAAGGCTTGCAATAAATTTGACATTCATGTTTATTGCAGTTTAAGGTTTTTTTAGCATCATTTAACTCTCAATGAAGAACTCCTCAAACATCTTAAGCTCAAGATAAATATAAACAATTGTTTTGTTATTATTTTATTGTTATTATTATTTATGTTTTGCTTTTTACCACAGTATTTTGGGCTAATGTAAACATAATTCATATTTCATTGTAAATCAACATGATACATTTTGAATAAGAATTAATGATGGAGTCATTTATTACTACCATGCACAGCAAGCATTTTATCTAATGGAAAATAATTTTTGAAAGGCTCAATTAATTGAAATCGATGGCATATTTTCCTACATTTGTATTTGAATACTACCATATGACATTATTTCTGCTGTTTTTGTGCATTTAAGCCATGTGTTTGCAACAGAAATGTTTCGCAAAATGAACCAAGAACATTTTGAATTATCCTTTTGAACTATTTAAAGCAAAGAATTCATTTGCCTCATAACTTTTTAATGATTTTATCATTGTACATAACAGTTTCAAAATACTTTTTAATGATGGATGAAAGATATAAAATTTAAATATTCTGCCTTGAAACCACTAAAGTGTATGTCTAAGAAAGTGAAAGTAAATGGTTATTAATGAAAGCCTGTTTTAAAATTTTGTAGTTTATTTGTCACATGAATTATATATTTTATTGTATATGCATGATTTATAGATGTATAATGAAGCACAAAAGAACAAATGACATCAGAGGAATCTTGGATAGTTGGTTCTAAAGAGTTGGACCATTCCTTTTTCTAAAAAGAGTTATATCTCTGGAATCATGAACTTCAACATGTTCTCATAAATCCCAACACTTGTTGCTTAATGCTTCATAAATTAAACATCTACAACTGTTATAATTGTTCATATAAAGGCTGTTAACTAATTGCATTCTTAGCAACACAGGTTTGAGTAGCATTTCATTACTGTGGAAATACATGCAGATGATGTTGTAGAAGGAATTTTAGCTACCCAATGTACAAACTAAAAATATACTGCTGACTGAAGACAAATAAAAAAAGTATGCAGAACAAATGGAACATTTCTTTTTATGTCTTAATCTGTTTGTAAACAAGTTTATTCAATTTTTTTCTTGTAAAACCAAAAACAATATTATTTCCATTTTTGGGTTTAAGAACTGGTTCATCAATGTTAGTGTACACATAACAAAATCTAGACTACACTCCTGTTTTAGAGAAATTAAAATGAAATACCTGCCTAAAGTCATAAAAATAATAATCCCCCTAATGTCCTGAAAATAATATGCCCACCTAATGTCCTGAAAATAATATGCCCACCTAATGTCATGAGTCACGTCTTCTAATCTTCAATCTTTTAGGGGATTTACTTCTCATTAGACCAAATTATTAAAGCAAGCAGCCTATGTAAAGACAATTGTGCATCTAGCGAAATAGCTCCAAAGACATATTTAAGTTGTTTACTCAATTTAATTTCTTGGCATTTTACATTATTCTTTTAACAACAAAGTACAATAAATATAAGATATGTGGGAAAACAATTAAGCTAGAAATTAATATGGCAAAAACTGTGTTATGCTAGAATGGATAAATTAAAAATCAAATTAAAATGTTAAAATTCTAATAGCAAAATTGCATTAGGGCCCACTGGCTTTAACAGTAAGTGGCAATGTGTTAAATGGGCCCTTCACACAACAGAATGGATTATCTGGTGCAATCAATCACGACTTTGACAGATTGTCCTGTCTTTATGAGCTCCATTCCGTCCTTCACCTTGTCAAGGGGCAGTCTGTGAGTGATGGCAGATTTCACATCTATCCTACCACTGGATACTAGACGGATACACTCAGGGTAGCTGGTGACAAAAAAGAGAGAATGAGATGAATTCATAGGATTATTGCCTCCTGATTATAGTCCAGTTTAGAAATGCAATACACTAATCTCTAAACACAATGAAAGTTAACACAAGATTATAATATAATGTTTTATAGTTAATTTTGATTTCAAAGTTCTGGCATCTCTAATAGTCCCCATATTTCAATAAAAATATGTATTTAAACAAATATAAATCGGCCCATGGCAATATGAACTTTAAAGGTGCAAAAGTGTAGGCTATTAGTAAATTTCATGATATAAATGTAGGTTATTTAAAAATCCTTTATAGTAACTTCGCTTTTTTTCGTGTATTTGTTGCAAAATCCTCGGACGGCTAAACGACACATTTCCTGTCATCGAACAGAACAGAAACTTGGCAGATTGACTCATTGCATATGAAAACATATTCCGTCAAATGTCCATCACCCACACTAACCCAACCAAAATCAGTTACTCCTGTTTTTCAAGGAGAAGATGAATGAAATACAATTAATTCAATGATTTCATGTTTTGGTGTGGAGATTACTTGTATAACTGAAGCTATATGCCTTGTATTTGTGAACAAACAAAAGTAAAGACATACTTCCTCTTGCTGTCCTCTCGGATACTAAATTTCAGCTGAGTGTTATTATTTAAAATGTAATTCTGTTTTCAGGTTGTCCCATACTATGTTTCACTCATTTCCATTTAAAAACGTGTGAGCCTCTATACACCGTGTAAATAAAACTTTTGGACATTGCTTGAACCAATGTGGGCTATAGCCAACGGAGAGCGTCAACATAAAAAAACAAAATATCAAAATAGGCAGACGATAGGTTTAACCCATGTATCAGAAAACCTAGGTCTATCTAAAACCTACTTTGGAATTGACACATTCGATGGAATGGAGACAGTTATAATGGTTATCATTGCTTTGGTCTGACGTAAGGTCAACGTTAACAGATATGTGTATCTACACAAATGCCCCCCCCCCCCCAATGTGGCAATTTCAAAAGTTCTCACCTTTATCTTGTGTAGGACAACAAAGCTTTCTTAAGTAGTAAATAACTACGTCAAACGGCTTTCATCAACCTTTAACAAATGAATTATTTAAAATTCTTGTTGTCATTAAATAACTAGTGTTTGCAACGTGTCTCATTGATTTGCTCAGTAATTTACTAGCTGAAGCCCGCCAAACAATGGCGACAGCAATGCGTGCATTTTCCATCTATTAAAGTTACTTGACAATATATGTATTCAAATAACGCACATTATAAGATTCCCAATTTGATGTAACCATTGTTTGGCGGGCTTCAGCTAGTAAATTACTGAGCAAATCAATGAGACACGTTGCAAACACTAGTTATTTAATGTTAAAGTTACTTGACAATATATGTATTAAAATAACGCACATTAAAAGATTCCCAATTTGATGTAACCCCCCCCCCCCCGGACGCTACCGTCCTTGAGCTTTATTGTTATTCTCATGTTACACTGGAGGTTTATTACACCATTTCCATAAAACAAAAGAAAATATTACGCACCAAAAGCACATGCGGTATTTGTAAGAACCTCGTGTAGTGCAGTTATCGGGGATTTTATTTTGTGCGCTAATGAATCTTATCGTTAGTGACAGACATTGCTAAATAGAGCAGTGTGTATGTTAAAAATTCATATAGGCCTACGTAGATTTTTTTTGAAAAAAAAAAATAATGAGCTAATCGCTATTTGTAGCACTAGTTAGCTACTAGAGTATCGTGAACTGACTTTCATGTATTGTATAATGATGGGGATGCATGACGACATGAAGTTTTGAAAGTTTTTGTTTCCGTTTAAAAAAATTATTTGTAGTAGGTAAATCTCAGATAAAATAATCGCTCAAGGCTCAAAGTATTAGTTGTCATAAATCAACACCATCTAATAACTAAGAAAAATCTTTTCAATTAAAGAGTAATACATTCGACCTTTACATCAGTCGGCATTATAAGCGGCAACTAAAGCAACAACAACAACAATAAAAACTCACTCATTGATATTGGCAAAAGCACCAATCAGATCGATTTCTCTGACAGCCGCCATTCCAAGATGGACGTTCATAGCCATGTCACCGAAACCAACCATCACCACTTTGCTCCCTGGTCTACACGCCTGATTCATACAATTATAGTGTGGTGAGGTCGAAAAACATCTAAAACATTACGGTCTACCAAAGTAAAATGGTCTTATAGCTATAAAGGGAATGGATTATTTTATGGATAAAAGGTGGCTGGATTATTTTATAGATATAAGGTGGTTTGATTTTTTTATACTTATAAGGTGGTTGAATTATTTTATAGTTATAAGGGGGTTAAATTATGTTATAAGGAGGTTGAATTATTTTATAGTTATTAGGAGGTTGGATTATTTTATAGTTATAAGAATGTTGAATTATATTAAAGTTATACCTTTATTCCAATGAAAAAATTTACTGCCTTAAGAACAATTTCAAACTGCTGAAAATTGGATCAGGTTTAAATTTAAAAAGACAATAGCGTCTTCAATAGTTCTTGTTATTTCTTCATTTGTCAAATCTGCTGAGGAAGGCTCTTAGCCGAAACGTTCTTCTTTTAGTGTCCCGTCTTTTTATTTCAAGCTTCCACACTCCACATACCTTGTTCCTCTATTTCCTTCACACTGCTTGAACGCAGTCCTTCATTTGTTATTCAATATCACAATAAACTAGGTCTACCACCCTATTTCAAGTTAGTCCGACTAATTAAAATAAAAGAACTAATTTGCTGAAACTTGAGTATCTCCATAAATTCCACATACACTTATTACATCCAACTTATTGAAGTTTTATGGCCTAAATAGATATCTCAGCATTTGTATGGCAGTCTCCTGCGATCGTCTCGAATACTTTCTGCATCCTTCAGTTGAACTACCTACTTACATGTATGGCAGCGTCCACCGTGCCTTTGGCTCCACTGCACTCAATACACAGATCAGCGTCATCCCCCAGAGCCTCTTTGAGTTGAGCACCTGCTAACTGTGGATCAACCATTGGTCCTGGTGGTCGGTAGATAATGTCAGCGCCAAGCTTCTTCGCAAGGTTTAGTCGATTCTCATTAATGTCTTGATAATTTTTGTGTGGGGTTGGTAGGGGAATAAATAAACGCCATTAGTATTTAAATTTTGATAATTAAAACACATTAATAATGCAAAAGCAGCTTCACTTTCCAACTGTGAATTTACCGAAACAATGATTCAGGTCAGTAGCAGTATTAATTGGGGTAAAGAATGAATTCCAAGCGTTGCTATTATGTAGGTGTCCTTTCTTTAGTCTAAACCTGGTAATCAAAGACAATGTAGCTGTAGACATGGTTGTGTGTACAATAGTATTTCTAGCAAAAAGAGAATTGCGGAAGACACAATTTAACTTGCGAGACATGCAGCCGAGGCTGCCATCCCAGGATCAGCCTCGTAAGCCATTTGATGAAATTAATGTCAATAGCAATTTCATCGTCTCGCGGAGACTGAACGATGCCATATAGTTCTAGCAATGTTAATTGTAACAACGGTGCCTATAAAAATGGCAGTTAAAAAAAAATGAGTAGTTGAAGCAAAGAGATGAACTCACCCACCATCATGACTTTGCCTGCTCCTAGAGCTTTGGCACTTTGCATTGCAAACAGTCCAACAGGTCCTGGGAGGAAGATACGTTTATTATGACACTGTGAGCTAAGGTGGATCTAAGGGTTTTTCCGAGACGGCTGTGTTGTACAGTTAAATTATCATGAAAATGTCATATTAATTAACACAATGTTTGTTAGTTGTGTCTAAGAGACAAATCAATTATTTTTTGAAGCCATTATCACTATTTAAAAACTTGCGCGACATGTTTACCATTTTGTACACGGGAAACTATTGACATAATTATATTACGACTAAAAATTTAGTCCGAAATTTTGACTACACGCCTCTTGAATTTAAAATCTACTGCACCTGCTCCAAAGACAATGACAGAGTCGCCTGGGTTCATCTGGGCACGGTGCACCGCATTGACACCAACAGAGAGGGGCTCCATCATCGCACCTTCTTCGAGGCTTACATTATCCGGTAGCCTGCAACACGGGAAAGTCGGCCTAAACTAAGAGCTTAGTCGTAACATTATTTCGTTTGGTAAATATGTTACATCGGAGGAATTGGATTATTCAATCTTTGATATATTATTTTTAAAAATTAAATATTTAATTTTAAAATATTCATAACATATTAACAAGGCATCACTCAACTTTGCAGATCCAAAGTATTTCGTCTTGAAATACACATTACAATGCTTAGGGTATTCGTAATTAACACAGGCACGTTGAGTGAATGTATAGATGTCTGATTATATAACAGCAGATTTTGAACAGCACAGCAAGTGTGATGGACAGGTACGTCTTTTTAAAATACTACAATCATCTTTAAAATCTTTGATCCATTCTGGTCTGCTTAGAAAGCACACACGCAAACAAGCTAAACTGCCTTGGGTGTAGAGCAAGGGTCTCAAACTGAAATCATCCGGAGGCCGCAGGAGGTAGAGTCAAGTATTCCACACAAAAATTGATTACAAATACAATAAATTACAACGGTTACAATCAGCGCAACCTTTTATTAATAACAAATATAAACGTTAAGGGATCTCAAGAGCTAGGCTTCACTTTCTTCTAGCTACTCCTTGTTGCCAGAGACCAGGCAGCGTTTCTTCTAACACACCTGAGTAACATCTGGCTTGAGTGAGGAAGCAACTGAGACCATCAGTACAGCTTGAAGATGCTCATCAGTAAGTTTACCCTGAACTTTGACTTGTTCAAGTGCATAGGTGAAAAGGGTCTTTCACACAGATAGGTACTCCCATAATGGCTCGTGATCCGCTTGAACAACCTGGAAATCTCATGAAAGGTGGAGGGAAATGTCTCTTTTTCCATTCATCTCCCTGAACTTAGAATTGAACTGAAGATCAATCAGCTCCATTAGAAGCGCAGGGGGCATCTTCCACATTGAAAGAGAAAGGGTCTACAAAAGTTGAAAAGGGGCTCTGTGTGTTTTGAAGTCTGAAAACAGGTGATCAAATTCTTCCTGTAGCTTTGCATAGCATCCGTATACCGAGTCCATGAGTACTTTGCATGTTGGGAAACGACAAAGGCTTCTCTAAGAACCATAACACAATTTTTGTGCAGAATGCCCTGACATTTTCAAAGGCATCACTGACAAGCTACCCCTGATCTTGTAACTTCTTGTTGAGTACATTCAGCTCCTGTGTAATGTCAACAAGAAAAGCCAAGTCCACGAGCCATTTAGGATCACTTAGTACAGGAACAACCACCTTATCCTTCTCCATGAAGGCTTTGAATGCTAAAACGTGATCAGGCAGGACCAGGCACTATTTATAAATTCTTGATGGTAAGAAAGAAGCTATTATAGGGAGGGTGAATCCTATTTTGAGCGTAACCAAGCTGACAGGCTCGTAATTTCCCTCACTCGTAAACACTAGTATAAGGCTTCTTTGATATCGTGTCAGAGTTCTACGATTTACAGAATTATGATTGTGCATTACCCACTTACTGACGTTTTAAACGTTTCTCAAAACCGACCTTTGGCCGCCATGTTTGTCTCATAAAATACTTTAAAATAAAAACTTTTAGTCCGATTCTAAAAAGGTTTTACCATTACAATCAACGTCCAAACCTGTACAAACATGATAAAAATCAGTATAAGACTGGACGGTGAGATTCGACTGAAATGGACAAATTATAGTTATGAGAATGGGGAAAAAGCGCTGACCGCATTAACACTAAACTTTGGTGTCATGTTGCGGGCCGCAAAATATCGTCTTGTGGGCCGCAAATGGCCCGCGGGCCGCGAGTTTGAAACCCCGGATGTAGAGTATCCCGGGAACGAGTAGTCCGCCAGATGGTACACATTATTAAGTTGTATTGTATGCGTTCACCTACTCTCCTTATTTCACCCACAACGCTTCACTGCCCACGTGATTCTGAATTCTTACGTATTAAAAAAGTGTTTGATGGTGTAATTAGCCTATGTCGTCATCAAATCGTGCTAATATTAAGTGTAAGTTAGCGTAATGTTGGTAGCAGTTTTTACAAAGGACTTATAATACATAGTAATCATATCACATAGTTTTCAAAGCTTACTTATAACAAGTTTGTAGGAGAGTTATAATAGAGTTTGCGCATTTTACTTATACCACGTTTAAGATAGAGCTGTCATGTAGCGTTTAAAAAGCTTAATCGTAAATAGGTTAAAATGAAGTTATCATGTAGTTTACTTAATCGTAAGCTGGAGTTATCATGCAGTTTGCAACGCTTACTTATAACAAGTGTAAGCTGGAGTTATCATGTAGTTTGAAACGCTTACTTATAACAAGTGTAAGCTGGAGTTATCATGTAGTTTGAAACGCTTACTTATAACATGTGTAAGCTGGAGTTATCATGTAGTTTGAAACGCTTACTTATAACAAGTGTAAGCTGGAGTTATCATGTAGTTTGAAATGCTTACTTATAACAAGTGTAAGCTGGAGTAATCATGTAGTTTGAAACGCTTACTTATAACAAGTGTAAGCTGGAGTAATCATGTAGTTTGCAAATCCACCGTCCACGTGCAGCACCCCGGAAATGTCCATGTTTTGACAGATGTTACTTCGCTTTCGCCTGCACTGATGACAGATGCCGCATGGCCGGCATGGATCAATGGCCACTCGGTCACCTAGAGGAGTTCATTCATTAAGAAAATTTTATTGGGAGTGGGAAAATCAAGAGTAGAAGAAAAGATGACCAGCTTGCCATTGAATACTTAAACATTCTTTGGACTAACATGTGAAATAAGTTTCCATTTTTTAAAACTTTGTAACAGATTGTTTTGCAAATGTCATCTCATCACATTAACCCTTTGACGAATTAGTTTAGTTATTTGATGGTGATAAAAGCTATCTCATTGGTCAGCTAATTGATGATAAAAGTTATCTCATGGGTCAGCTAATTGATGATAAAAGTTATCTCATGGGTCAGCTAATTGATGATAAAAGCTATCACATTTGGGAGCTAATTGATGATAAAAGTTTTCTCATTTCTTAGCTAATTGATGATAAAAGCTATCTCATTGCTTGCTTTAACGAATTATTTCAATTATCTCCAAGCTGCTGACTCCAGTGAATGTCTTAAGGTCGTAGTGTTAAAATAGCAGAAGACTTAAAACAGATGAGATTGTATTTATTTGTTTCTCCATTTTCTGCTATTCAAAATATTTTCCTTTTTTTTTAAAAAAATGTTCCCAGGAACTTTCTGAAAGACGTTTAACATTGTCAAACACTTTTAGATCTTACCAACGGCTAGGTCTGTAACACCTGGTCCTAACTTGCTGACCGTACCACTTATCTCGTGACCGATGGTGATCGGTTTGTTAATGATGATGTGGTCCACACGACCTTCCTCGAAGAGATGGACGTCCGTACGACACAGACCCACTGTGGACATTCGGAGCTGGACAACTGGAGAGGGACAATATTATTTGAACACGTTACGGCACAAGAAAACTGTCTCCAACCGCGGTACTTTGATATTATTCGGTCAGCTTTCGTAAACATCAATACACGCACGCAGAAAATTTTACTGACGAAATACCCACCCAGTTTTTCACATATCATTTCCCATAGCTTTTCACATAGTTTTTCCATATAGTTTTTCATATAGTCTTTCACATAGTATTTTTTTTTATTTAGTTAATTATTTTACATAGTTTTTCATATAGTTTTTTTTCCACATATTTTTTCATATAGTTTAGTTTTAAAAAAAGTTTTTCAGCTCTAAACTGTGACTGAAATGTTGTTGTTTTTTTTTTAACGATTCTTTTATAATACGCAAGGGATGGGTTTTCTAGCCGTTCCATTTGACCACAAGCCATCGGTATTGTAAGTAGAAACACCGCCTGTCACAAAGTGGTCTCAGGCACACAGCCATGGTTACTGTGATAGCAAATAAAGGTACTTAAATGTGACGATATCGCAGAGGCACTTTTCAACTTACACCGTTCATACGATAACTTACAGTTGTTCAAGTCTGTCAAGGATGAGCAACAGTACATCGATGAAAATACCGACATCCGATTGTGAATACTGTTGTCCATTTTAAAATCATTTTAAAAAAACGTTTTAGTCCTTAAATAAATAACCAGGCTAATCAATCATTGCGATGACAGACCGCGTGTTAGGAACAAAAGGAAGTAATTGGTTAGTGTTAGTTATTTAAGTGTTAATGAAGTACTTGGCTTTTGCACAAAATCACTTAGCATACATTACACCCAGCAACTAAACATGAAATCATTTGAAAATTAATGTCTACAATCAGCCAAAACAAGTACAATCGATCACATCCAGTAAATTGTGGATCTGTCACTCACAGTTTTCAGGAGGTTCTGGAATATCCAAGGTCTCCTGAAAGTAAAAGTAATTTTTTTTTTTAATAGTACATCGACGATTTATGTACAGGAATTAGGTATTGCTGAGTTGTTGGCCCTTTTCAAAGTATAGTCAAACATAACTAAATAAGTATTAGAACTGGTAAGTTGAGACTAACGTAATGCTATAAGTCTTTTTCTAAATTTAATAAAAAAACACAACTAACACAGCAACGAGATGCTTTGTAAATGTTTTTATGTGAAACTAATATATAGATAACATGCAGCTTCTAGCAAATTTTTGAGAACATATTATACAACTATTTAAATAGGACGCTCACCATTCGCAAAGTAAAACTTTTTAAATAGGATACTCAACGCTCTCAAATTGTAAAACTGTTTAAATAGGACACTCACCACTCGCAAGTCATTTTTCCCATGGATCCGGACAGCCCTGTTGCCTTCCATAACTGTTTCACTCTACTAGACTGTCTCTCAAATGGTCCAATGTTTCACTCGACCAGGCTGTCACTTGATTATCCCACTGTTTCCCTTTACTAGACTGTCTCTCAAATGTCCCACGCCCTTGTCACCTTTCTAGGTTAAGGAATTAGTTCTGACCTACACCACAGCTGATGTAACGTGTCTGAGAGTCCAGCACGGTGCGGCTGTGTACTGGAACAACGCTTTATCACAACAATGATAACAGGTGATAACAAAATTTGACAAAAATGAATAATTGTTTAATGAATATAAATATTAAGAGGCCGCAAACATAATGTTACAGTCCAATGCGCCTAGCAGGGAAGGAAAATGATTGCATTACTACTGAGAAGTTTGATACAAGAAAGCGTACATCTTTAGGACTGGCGTAGAAAAAAAGAGGGGGCGGAGGGGGGGGGTGGAAAGGCCAACCCGGACAACACGTTTTTTCTTCTATTTATTGAGGAGCGTGAAAAACCCCCTATAACATTCATGGTTGAACGAAAGATCATTGCCTTTCTCACTGGACTTCTTGGTTGACGGAAAGATCATTGCCTTTCTCACTGGAATTCTTGTTTGACGGAAAGATCATTGCCTTTCTCACTGGAATTCTTGGTTGACGGAAAGATCATTGCCTTTCTCACTAGAGTTCTTGGTTGACGGAAAGAGCATTGCCTTTCTCACTAGCGTTCTTGGTTGACGGAAAGATCATTGCCTTTCTCGCCCTCAATTAAAAAACATACTGTAAGATATATTATTCTGGTTCGCGTATCTGGCTCTGTCAAGGCATATCTGGCGCGAAAATCTGTTTCTGTCAAGGCATATCTGGCTCAAATATCTGGCTCTGTCAAGGCATATCTGGCTCAAATATCTGGCTGTGTCAAGGCATATCAGGCTTACATATCTGGCTAAAATATCTGGATCTGTCAAGGCATAGCTGGCTGTGTCAAGGCATATCTGGCTCTGTCAAGGCATAGCTGGCTCTGTCAAGGCATATCTGGTCTGTCAAGGCATATCTGGCTCTGTTAAGGGAACACGTGGCATCTGGAACTATGCACAATTGACGAACGAGCGTACGCGTTGAAGATGCGGCATTTCCAATACTGTCTTGTTGTTCTTTTTTTGCGCACACTTTTCCATACTAGAGAACTCCTAAAGATTGTTGATTGTGACATTTTTCGTTACGAGGGAATGAATGGTTTTCTTCTAATGCAGACGTGAGCGTATTTGCTTGGATTCGCATGTTTGTTGTCTGACTTGATTCTGAAAGATTGATGTAAACAAATACAGCGATTTATGTATTTCGAAAATCTTGTACTAATTTTTGTACATCTATATTACAACATAGTCTATAGCGACAATGAACCACCGTTTTCACTCAACTGTTGTTTTTTTTTTACTTGTTCGTTACATTCGTACAAATTGCAGATTGTTAAATGCTGTCATATGTTTACCGCTGCTATCTTCTTTCCTAGATAAGAAACGTGCTGTTTCGGGTTTGGTCAAAGAACTGGGTCAATGGTAAAAGTCTGATGTGCATTGCTTACACATCTATATGGATTTAAAGGGGCTGATTTATGTTGTATGAAGCTTATCTGCTGAGGCCTATAGAACTTATTGGTTGATTATAGTTTATGGAACATATTTGTTGAATTCAAGACAAATATTATAGTTTATGGAACATATTTCTTGAATTCAAGACACATGTTATAGTTTATGGAACATATTTCTTAAATTCAAGACAAATGTTATAGTTTATGGAACATATTTCTTGAATTCAAGACAACTATTATAGAACATATTTGTTGAATTCAAGACAACTATTATAGAACTTATTTGTTGAATTAAAGACAAATATTTTAGCGTTTAAAATGAAATTTAAAAAATAAGAGAGATATAAAGGACACGCTGAAGAAAAAACTTCATTTTACTGGATGACAATGAAAAACTGTAGAGACATTGTAACCACCTTGTTTCAAGAACCTTAATTAAGATATTCAAACAATTTCGTATGTCAGTTCTGTTGTCCCTTTATTGTTATTTCACAAATCTCTGCAATTACCCGTAACTCCACTCAATTACTAGCAAGCTCATGAGGACTTTTAGTCCCCACCAATTATTTTAAAGTTTCATTTTAACAGCCAAATAAATATGATCCAATTCTTTTCATTTTTAAAAATAAATCAAAACAAACGCCAAACAATAACATCATGAATTGTGAATGAATTATATTCTAAATAGATTGATAAATACATTTTACTTTGTTCTGATCTATTTAAATGACACTTACAATTGTACGGAAAACATTTTATTACATGTTTAGCTTGTTAATCAAGTTTTTACACTTAAATTTTATAATGCAGAATCAATTAAAAGGTTATAAAGGACTAAATATCATTGTTTGTGGAATATGATTATTGTCAGTATAGCTGACAATTAATTATAGTATAGTTTCTAGCTGCTATCAGCTTCCCATGGAGAAGCCAGGTGTTTCTCTATCGTAACAATGGGCATCAGGGACATCATTTGGGTAGGCCAGGGGGAATTCCCCACCCCCTTGTTTTGCTGGTTTTATTTAAATTGCCATTCACTGTGGCGCCTCCAGTAACAAACAACGTAACACGCCGACCAAGTTTTAGTTTTGCCCCCCCCCCCCCCCCCTCCCCCCTGAAAAAAACCGAAATGACGCATCTGATGGGCACAGTCTATAGTATTTGATTTATCATTTTCATCTTGTGGAACTGTTGTACCAGGCAAGTCAACATCATCCTTATCTAACCATTCAGCACTTAAAATGGAAGTATTGTCAGTGTGAGCAATAATTGTCATAAGCTCTCTCTGTCTTTGAGTTGGTCGAGTTGTGATTGAACGGCCGATGAGCTGGTGTTGTTGTTTTCTTGTTAATTGCCTAAACATATAGGACTATTTACACTCATTATTAAATTGTTAAAATAATGTAAGTACAAGTCAATTTTTAAGATTAAAATTTTAATAGAAAAAAACATGATTGTTGACGTCAACTTATCTAAACTCCCCCCTCCCCCTTGTCCACAACTGTCAAACATTTCCAAACCCCCTTCCCCTTATTTTTTGGACATAATTAATGGACGCCCCCTTAAAGGAAGACCGAACATGTTAGTCGCTATTAAAAAAATAAAATAAAGTTGATGATAATTGTAACAATCGACATATAGGATAGTTCACTTGTCATTGTTTGGCTGTCAGCAAACACCGGTGTGAATCCGAATAACGGGAAATTTTGGTAAATTCGTTGAAAAAATCGAATTTCATTCCGTTCGTGACAGCACTTGTTATCTCCTGCTCCTACAGTTGTTGTCATTATCAACGGCATAGCGCGCGGGTGGCTCCGTCAAAACCACAACCAGCAAATACCGTGGGAAGTGGAGGGAGAGAACGTTTACACTCTAACGTCTTTTTAACCAATTAAGCCCCATTACACAGCCGTGGAGTGAGTACTTGTGGCGGCACACGTAATGTCACCGATCTCCATGGTGATTGAGGAATGGCCAGGACCCGGTGATTAGACACCCACAGGGCAACCAGGGCAAACAGCAGATAAGGATCTAAGAGGTGGTGGAGATGGAGCCACTGGGCTAAGCTGATTTCAATTGATCCATTTTTCCCCTTCGTTTGCGACATTTCTCCATATTTATGAAACAGACACGAAAGTTTCGATGGCCTCAACGTCGTCACGTCTGACCGCTACACTGGAGTAGGATACAGCAGAAGTTGTAATCTTATTGCATCTTATTTCTCAGTCCAAAAGGTTGTGCTTAAGTTTGTTCAGGCCCGTTCTTAGGCATACGCTGACTACGCATCCGCGCAGGGCCCCGAGCATGAGGGGGCCCCCGTGAGGCGCCCTCGATATATGTCCATATGTTTCAGAAGTACGCATTTTCTCTAGTGGCGGAGTTATCAATATGGTTAGTGGTTACACGCGAGCAAAGAGGAAACATTGATGAAGGCAGAATGGAGGTGCCGCAGTGGTGGGTGGTGTTTTCTCCTCAGCCCGAGGAGCTCCACCCCGGACCCCCCCCCTTCCGGGGCCACCAACCTACGCTCCATGCTTAGGGGCCCCAAACTCCTAAGAACGGCTCTGGTTTGGTGGTTGGAGAGGTTTTTTAAAAGGGGAGAAATGTTCAATTTTTATTTTCTTAATTGTCTAATACTGCTTAGACTGCTAGTGTTGAGTTTTTGTTAACGACGACAAGTTTACTCTTTCTCACTAGTACATCACTTTGTGTTTAGTCTCTTAAAGAGAGTCTAGATTTTTTTCGGTTGATGTGGACTCGAGGCAGTTCTAAAAAATGTGTACTGTTGAAAGGAAAAAAAAAAGGGAAAACCATTTTTAAAAAAACAACAAATTCTTCCAAATTTTGGATATTTTGAAGTACATTCCTCGACAATCTATTATATTTTCTATCTGCTTTAAAAGGTCATTTGGATCTGCCCCTTGACCCCAGCCCCTTCCCCAAACCCTGCCAAAAATATGAATAATATTAGCATATTTAACAGCAGCCAGACAATTTTTTCTGTGGAATAACAAAGTAGATATAATCAGCGTTTCCATCAGACAATTTTCTCCGAAGGTGGGGGAAGGGGATGTAAGATTTTCGGGTGGACAGTGCCAGTGGCCAGAGGCGTAGCTAAGGGAGGGAAAGAGGAGCAGATGTCCCTGGGTACCAGAATTTCGGGGGTGCCAAAATGGTCCTTTGTGGTATTTATTGTATAAAAATAAAGAGCTTGAGATTTGAGGGGGGTGGGGGAGGGTCATAAACATGAATTGTATCCCATGCTGCCATACACTCTAGCTGCGTCTCTGCCAGCGGCGTAGAAAGGGGCGGATCGATGGTCAGTCCGGATGTCACTTTTTAATTATATGAAGGGGCAGAATTTTAGGACAACTGCAGACTTTGTATCGTAAAGTTAGGGCTACAAAAATCTAGCCACAGAACCAGACAGTGTATCAATCGGCACCGAAATTGCGATCTCGGTCAGTTACACTGTAATTTTTATCAGGAAGTACGGCAAAAAGTGAGGACGACGAAGGCTCTTGAGCGGAAGGAGGTTCTGGGAGTCAACGCCCTGAAAATGTTTGATTATTTCAAATTCAAGAGGTGCATTTTGGAAAATAGCTGAATTCCGTGTTTCTATAAGACGAATGGTTG